TAAGCAAGATGTTACCATTGGTGGAAACTGGGTGAAGGGAATTCAGGATCTCTCTGTACTGTTCTTATAACTGCAGTGTCAATCTACAATGATCTCAAAATAAGAAATTTTATTTAAAAAGTAACAAAGTATTGGATAGGTCCAGATCAGGATGAGTTGTGAGGGGACTGAGACCACTGTGGGTTGCGAGGCAGTGGCAATAGGAAGAGGGACTCGCTAGGGCCCCAGGGCTGGCCAGTGCACTTCATCATCAAGGATCTTGGAGAAACTCTTTCAAGGCTGTTAGATCACAGACCCATTATTTTGTGAAAGAACCTGAAGAAAAACGTGGTCTTCGAGACGTGCGAGTTCTTGAGAATTTGATAATATGAGCCATGAAACAAATGAGCACAGTTTCTTCCCAAATGCAGAGAAACAGTGTGAGCCGACTTAAACCCACGCTCTGCGGGGACTGCAAGCAGCTACCAACTCAGCCTGCGGCCTCCCACAGGGGAAGCAGAACGAAAACAGATTGGTGACGGCCATTTAACAGCTAGTGAAAACCAGCAGGCGATCCGGTGGGAAGATCAACACAACAAACAGGCCCAAGTGGAAGAAGAGCACAGAGAAGCTCCAGGGAGGCTTAAAGAGCAGCACCTTTTAGGATCTCGAAGCACAGCAGTGAGAGACTCACGAGGAAACCCTGGCTTCCCCCAGACACCGACTATTCCCACCAAGCCGCTTAGCCTCTGCTTTAAGCTTAGCAGTATGTGCCTTGGCGCTCAGGTCAGAAGAAAGAAACTTCTCCTGGAGTCTTCATTTTTTTTTTTTAAACTTATCTTTATTGATTTCAGAGAGAGGAAAGGAGGGGGAGAGAGAGAGATAGAAACATCAATGATGAGAGAGTCATGGATCGGCTGCCTCCTGCAAGGCCCCAGCTTGGGATCAAGCCTACAACCCAGGCATGTGCCCTGATCGGGAATCGAACCCCGATCTCCTGGATCCTAGGTCGATGCTCCACCACTGAGCCATGCCCGGCCGGGCTGGAGTCTTCATTAAATGTTTAGTGGAAGAGCAGTGCTACATCTTTCCAGTTTTAGTGTCTCTATATGATTATTTGAATGGGGAGCAGGAGGAGGAAAAATGGGATACATTTACTCTTTGTTAATCAGAATTGGTCTTCTTTTCTATTGGTTATTCCAGAGAACTGTAAGTATAGACTTCTTAGAAAAATAATTAGATTCATTCTTAGACAGGGTTAATATTAGTTTGTTATTGTGGCTTAGAAGGCAGATATAATAGTTGCCCATTTTAGCTTCCTTGGCTGTTGGGAGAATGTGTAACGTGCTATCCATGAGTAATGCAGACAAAAGCATCTGTCCTTGGAACAGAGGTCACATTTAAGAGAGGTGAGAATCAAAACCTTTTCTCTACTATGGCCAAGGTGGCCACGTTGGCCTTTGAACTGCCTGTTGGGAAAGGTCACAGATTTTGCAGAGCAGCAAAATGCCGTATGTCTCACTGGTGACAGGACACATTTGTTAAGTTTTGGGGCCTCCCAGCACTTAATATTTTCAGCTTTTAAAACACGCTAAGGAGGAAACACTTACCAAAAATATAGCTGACTTTTAGCCTTTCCAAGAACCATAATCTTGCCCATGTCTGTTCTGTTGTGGGCGAGTTTTGTAAGACGAGTCTCAACTGTTTAATGAGTCATCAGCCAAATCTGCCAGAAGTCCCTCTGGAACCATACAGAGATCCTGGCCTTGACTATACCAGGAGTAGCATGGTCCATGTTAAATGGAGATCCTTTTGAGTGTTTAACGTCTGTTCTCATAAGCAGGTGTATTATGAGGAAACATGTACCAACTCTCTCATCACTGTGATCTTTAAAAATCTGCATTCAACAAAATCTAATGGAGAAACTAAGTTGAACTTTTTATTTGCCATAAACAAAGCAAAATTAAAGGCAATAATTTCAAGAGATTTATGGCAAATGAATTTGAGGTACAGATAATCTTTCAAATATTTTCTATTGCTCTTCAGTAAAGAGATGCACAAGGAGGCCTGATAACTCTAGAGCTCAAAGGCCTTTGTAGGCCCAAACAAGCTGACTCCTTAGGCAAGAGGAGACAGCTGACAACTTCCACAGCCATCGTTCCAGGTTGTGTCTAAGTCAGCATCTTAGGAACTGTGGCACAGAGCCCTGATTAATTTCCTACCGCTGCCCTGCCCAGTCATGCATTCTGAATATGTCTTTAATTTGTGTAAATTAAAATTGTTTTATTTTCATGTTTTAAGAACAAACACCTTGAGAAAAACAAAGACCTGCTTAAACTTAGCATAGAAACTGATTACTCCCTTACCCTATCTCTCTCTGGATGTTTTTAAAAAAATTAGGGGTTCGCTTGGCAGAGTGCAGTTATTGTCATTTCTTTCCGCCATCCCGTGTGAGTGCTGCAGTGTGGGGGGTGGGGGCTTACCTGGAGGTGAGAGGCAGGCCATATCCAGCCCTCTGCACACCTGGCCCTAAATCGAGCAAGCATCCCCAAAACTTTTGCAGTTGCATCTGCTCTCCTGCCTGATACAGAGCGGATGTTGTTGTGGTTACGTTGAGAATCTACCACGTTCTGTGAAAAATACCATTGGGGTCACAAAGCCTCCTTGGTGGGTTTGACATGATGCCTTAGCATCCCCCTCACCCTTCTTCACGCTCTGTATAATAGAGGCTGCCTCTCCCATGGCTGATACTCATCTAAGCCACAAGGCTGGAAGGCCTCCAAGCCAGCTGCAGCTCCTTTCCAGGAGACTGAGATGGGACTGCCCTATTTTCATGCATTGCACCCCAAAATCTGACCATCATCCTACTCAGGGGCATAGTTCCAAAGATCCGGATATCTGCAGATTGACTCTGGCTCCCCTCCATGCTTCCTCCCCTGGGCGAGGTATACTTTCATAGCTGTCCACCCTCTTCACCACCCTCCCTATTAGACCCTTTGGCCAGCAGGGCCTGACACTCCGTGCAGCGGGAACAGATGAAGCAAAAAGCAAGCTGCTCTCTAAAATGAGGACTGCCAGGTCGGTGGCCTCTCTGGACTTGGCTGTTAACTTTCATTGATGTGAGTTAAGGTGCAGCACTGGGCCTGTTTAACTAGGGACGCACACACACACACACACACATCAGCAGGCCAGGGCATCCACTGCTGTGTGCCCTATTCATAACCATCGCTACAAAGGGTTTCCTTCCCAGCCTCCCTCATCTTTAATGTGGAAATGTTACATGTACTGTGCAAGTCTTCAATGACACAGGTACATTGTGTCCACCACAGCCTTGTTAGTAATTATAAATACTGAGACACTGCTTAAATGAAAATGCACCCATTTAGAAGAATGAGGTAGCTCTACATAAGCTTAAGTGAAAACCTTTCCTTCTACTGTTAGATAAAAAGGTCAGTTGCAAAGATACACATACACATAGTACAACTGCACGTGTCTGAGNGTAGCTCTACATAAGCTTAAGTGAAAACCTTTCCTTCTACTGTTAGATAAGAAGGTCAGTTGCAAAGATATACATACACATAGTACAACTGCACGTGTCTGAGACAATGTACAAACATCTGTCTATGAACGATAATATCTGAGGGGCACGCTCAGATGTAACCGTGATGTTCTCTGGAGAATGGACGACTATGAGGAGAGTTGAGACAGAGAACTTTCCCTCTATTCTTTTTTGTATTGTCTCAAGTTTTTCAAGAATATGTAGCTCTTGTAAGTTAAAAGGCACTCTAAAAACATTTTCAAATATAAAATGTTGAATGTTCCATGGTTTGTTTGTTTTTAAATATATCTTTATTGATTTCAGAGAGAGGAAAGGAGAGGGAGAGAGAGACAGACAGAAACATCAATGATGAGAGAGAGTCATTGATCGAGCCCACGACCCGGGCATGTGCCCCGATCGCCTGGATCCTAGGTCGATGCTCAACCGCTGAGCCACGCCTGGCCGGGCGATGTTTTGGTAAGCATCTTGAGGCTTCGAGAAGGGGAAGGGGCATTGAAATAAAAAAAAATTTTTTTAAAGCCCATTCAACACTTCAGTTAGGNGGGCATGTGCCCCGATCGCCTGGATCCTAGGTCGATGCTCAACCGCTGAGCCACGCCCGGCCGGGCGATGTTTTGGTAAGCATCTTGATGCTTCGAGAAGGGGAAGGGGCATTGAAATCAAAGTAATTTTTTTTTANCTCAACCGCTGAGCCACGCCTGGCCGGGCGATGTTTTGGTAAGCATCTTGAGGCTTCGAGAAGGGGAAGGGGCATTGAAATAAAAAAAAATTTTTTTAAAGCCCATTCAACACTTCAGTTAGGATTCCACAAAGGGAGTGCAGTTCATAAACACAGCTCAGCCCAAGCTGTGATGTGACATCCAGGGGGTGTCTGGGACATGGTCCCCACCAGGCAGAACTCCAGGTGGGGCAGACACATAGAACAGATCCTGCCAGGTGGCTTGACTCTAGAATTAAGCAACAGTGTGAAGCGCACCCAATACAGGCTTCACAGTGGGAAGACCTGGAAACCCTGAAGAAGTGGGAGGAGGGCACTCACTGGGTCTGGAAGGTTTCAGGACAGCAACAGACAAAAAGGAAGGGCCAGGGCCAGAGAGGGAAAACCGCCCTCACCCAAGCACCCGCCCAGGCTGCACACATACCCCTGCCCAGCACCCAGAACTGGGAATACAGAGAAATGAGGTCCAAGTCTCTCAGCACCGGAGCTGGCCCCAGGGCTTAAGCAGAAAGTCTCCCAAGCAAAGGGAACTGCAAAGGCAAGAGCTTGGACAACCTCAGGGCCTGTGAGAGAGAACGCAGCCTGGGGCCTGGGCGGAGGCCGGGAGGAGCCTGCGCTCAAAGGCTTCCCTCCGCCCTGGCAGGTCGCGGGAGTGGCACCGTCAGGTCCCCTTCTGAGGCTACTGTCCACGGCTGGAGGACTGGCCAGGAGAGAGGCTGTTGCAATGACCCTAAGAAGGCACGAATGAGGCTGTGTGGCCGAGGCCTGGGGAAGGCGGCAAGCGTATGGTCCGCAGAGAACCGCCAGCCCTGGCCGAGCGCCCGAGGAGCGGGCAAGTCCCTCACTAGCTCCTCTTACCTCTCAGCCCTCAGTGCTCATTTTGCAAACAAAGCCCCGAGGTAACCGCGAGGGAGACACTTTGAGTGGCGGCAAAGGAAGTGGACACCCCTCTGCTTCCCTGCGCGCACCCTCACCCTCATTTTTTGAAGTCCCTACTCTCTACTTATCCTGTCACCACCACCCGCCCCCGCAAGAGTGCCATTTCCAAGCCCTTTCCCTCCACCTCAGACCCGCAGTTCTCACCCCCCCCTCC